TTTATATAGTGGCCTGGTTCCGGAGTATAAAGAACTGTTTAGGGTCTGTATTTGAACTCCTTGCCTGACTGCAGTACGCAAAAAAAAAAACCATACGCAACACGCATTTATCTCACGAATTAAGTTATATTACTATTCACACCAGCAAGTTGTAGCTTGTCTCGCGTGGGCGTCTACTACTGCTGTCTCTGGGGGGAAGGGGCGTTTTTTTACAAACTGTCCATCAAACGAGGGGTGTGTACCTTTTATTATGGTACGTCCTCAGAAAGCGAGACTAGGACATTCCTGTTTCTCTCGGAAAGACAGAATCGGAGGAGGATGTACATGTAAGTCTTGGATCTTTACTGCTGTGAACAAATGAATGAGTCTGAACTCCTGACAGTTCCCACCTCCGCCAACATCTACACCTTCTCCACCGAAACCATGAAACAGGACGGTAAAAAAAAAAACAGGAATCTTGTTTGGAAGGAGGCACAAACCCAGTGCTGGTACTGAGTCACACCGCTGTCTGGCCTGTTTAATTAATCAGAGACTCCGCCTGTGGGAGGTTTGCTTTCACCCTTGGGTTCTTCTCTTTTGTCAGCTCAGGTCTTCCTGTAATTATTAAATTCTATAGGAAGTTATAAAATGTGAACGCTTTCAAAAATCTCTCCCATTGTTGGTTTTTTCCCCCCCATCATCGAAAGTTACAATTTTCCAAAAAGCCCAGAGTGACAACAAGCGCTTTTTTTTTTTTTTTTTTTTTTTAACCTCCTGACCAATCAGGTCATGAGCTGGAGGTTAAGCGAGGAAAACAAACGTTGAGGACAGAGTGAAAGAAAGAGCCTTGTTACTGAGTGAATATGAGATTTACACCAAGTGTGAACGCAGCGTAATGAAGGCGTGACCCAGAACATCTGTAGGATGTCTTTACAAACGTAAAATATCTAAATTCATATAATACATCCATGTTAAAACCAGTAAGAAACTGGAAAAAAAGTTTAAAAAAAAAAAAAAAAAAAAAAAAAAAAGAATGGGATTCTTAATTAGCATGACTCAATGGTGTTTCTTTTAACTTTTTAAAAAATAAAAATAATTTAAGTTTTATAGCAGATAGTAACATTATTCATAGCACTTACTGAATATGTTTTAAGATGTGATTTGAGTGTATCTATATATATATATATATATTTTTTTTTTTTTATTGTTTATACAAGGTTTATTCTCATTGGGTGTATAAGTGAACGTGTGTGTGTTACCCATAATGCACTACCACCGAGTTGTGAGTTTAGAGTGTGTTAATTTAAGCAGACCGCTAATCTCAGACACTAGTTACAGTGCATGCCCAAAGAAATAGACTTTTCTTTCCTTCCTTTCCTAATGACCTGCACCATAAATCACTCGAGGGCACGGAACTCATTCTCGTCCTCACCAGTCGTGGCTCTCGATCCAGTTGCTGAGGTACTGGCGGATGGCCATGGGGAAGTTGTCATCGTATAGCTGGTCCACCTGTTCCAGGAACTTGGAGTCCAGCTGCTGCAGCTCGAGCCACTGACTCATCTCGGATGTTCGCCTCGCTGGGAACAGGGGGCAGAGCGAAGAAGAGGAGTTACATGACCTTGCTGGTATCCGACGTTCTAAAATTAACACGCACTTTAACCAACATCAGCATCACGTTTTAAATCGCCTTGAAGACAGCTCTGAGAGATCATGCAGATAAAGGTCAAGAGCTTCAGTTCAGTTCAGAATTTTGGAGAGAGGGCAGAGCTGACAGGTTTCGGTCGACAGGAAAGCCTCGGTAACTCAAATCAGCTGAAAAGCATCTCAGAACACACTAACGTTGAGGCAGATATCTGAGGCAACGGTGAGTACAGGTGCACTTCACCCAAACTGGACAGGTGAAGTGACTTGTAGTGACTCGGAATTTGTGCTCTGCATTTAACCCATCCAAGTGCACACACCCGTGAACACACACACCCGTAGCAGTGGGCAGCCTTTTTAGCTGCGGCGCCCAGGGATCAGTGCCTTGCTCAAGGGTCTCACCTCAGTCGGGGTATTGAGGGTGGCAGAGAGCGCTGGTCATTCACTCCCCCCACCTACAATCCCTGCCGGACCCGAGACTCGAACCCACAACCTTCGGGTTCACTTTCGGGTTACAAGTCCGACTCTCGGACCATTAGGCCACGACTGCCCCCACGAAGATCGGGGGGGGGGGCATCACATCACCTGCTCATTCACCCTTTTTCCTGCATTCTGACGTTTGATGTGAACATTAACCGAAGCTCTTGACCTGTATGATTTTATGTATTGGGCTGCTGATGCGTGATTGGCTGACACACTGACTCGATAGCTGTAGGAAGGAGCAGGTGTTCCTGTTAAAGACTGTATGTGCAATATCACTCCACATTACACACACACACACACACACACTGCATGAGTGATGCATAAATACAACTCGTACTGAACAAAATTCTAAACAAAGAATTAAAAAAAAAAAAAAAAAAAAAAGTGCTGTTAATTAATAATAATTTGAATAAAGACACTGTAATTTTAACTCTCAGCTGAAATCTTTATTCTTTAGTATTTGAATCGGGGAACCTCGAGTACTAGAGACATTTGTCCTGAAATTGATTGCACTTTGTACATGTAGTTTTTGTTGGCGTTTATAATGTTGTGTGTGTGTGTGTGATTTTACTTTTTTTTTGGTTGTTTTTTTCAGTTTCTTAATTGTTTAGCACTTTGGTCAACTCTGTTGTGCTGTATAAATAAAGTTGAGTAATTGTTAAGAAAGTTGTTGCTGTTCTAGGAAGACAGTCAGGGTAGGAACAGAAGCGCTTCATCACACCACCCCGTCGTTGATTATTTTACTCTAACAGCACCACACGCACAAGATGATTTCTTACATGTTCTTAAAGTATAGTAATAATATATAATTAACACAGTATTTACACACACACACAACCTTCACGCCTCACTAGCACTGCTTTCCCAGAATGCACTGCGATGTTTTGGAGCGCTTAAAGTGCTTAAATTGTACGTTAATATTCTCTGTGGGTATCTCTTATAATAAACAATAATGTCACTTCCGCCTTCTTACACACAAACATCCTGCTGTTGTTTATGGCTGATCTAACAAGCTAGAGATTTGCACTTACCACGAGAGCTACCGTAAAGACTGCAGGTCTCTTCTTTCGTGTCGTTTATACACACACACACACACACACACACACACACACACTCGAGGGGTCACTTCGAGATCTTTAAAATGGCTGCAATAACATTTAACGCTACAAAGCCCCGAGCCGCGTGCACCCTCCCCTCCTCCTCCTCCTCACCCTCACCAACAGAACCAGGTCGCGCGCTCTCGCGCAGCCACAGTTCCTTTACCGGCCTCAGCCAATCACGACGCGAGGTCGAAATAACGCTCCAGTATTCTGTCCGCGCGGGCCAATCAGAGTGCGAGGTTCACGAGAGTGGGCGTTGTTGATGGGAAGGCGTAGTGACGTGGTCACGTGGTTTACGAGAAACTGAAACTTAACGGCTTTGTTGCTGTTTTTCCGGGTGAAAAAGAGGAAAAGGCAGATTAGCATCGAAATCAAAATTACCGAGCGGGTTTTTTTTTTTTTTTTTTTTTTTAAACACATGCATTTTCACATTTCGTTTTCCTTTCAATACACAATTCCTCAAAATGCCAAGAGTGAAAATTAAGCCCTGATTTTAAGCCTAAAACAACCACAAACAGTTAGTTAATCATGAATATTTTTCTCACTACAGATTAACCCCTTTAAGTCTCATTTTCAGAACACGTTATTGCACTACTATGATTCATTACTGTGGCTGCTATGAATCACTGCTTTCAGTAAAACTAAGTAATAGCACAGGATTAGTTTACTTGTGAGACACATGAAATAAAATTTTGATCCATTGGAAGAAAAAAAAAAAAAACCTCTTGTGAGTTATAAAAGGGTTACAAAGATAAAAATTTCCACACTGAACCAAGGCTGAAGCATTTGTATTGAAGCAGGAGTAACATGAGGTCAGGTTCATTTGATTCTGTAGCTCACTCATCTCCAGAATGGATGGAGAAGATTCCATGCCAGATAGAAAAGCAGCCTCAGTGTGGTGCTTCTCAAGTGCGACCTGAGGACAACACGCCACACAGAAAAGCATAACCTTTACCGCATTGCTATTATGTTGCTTTATTTCTTTAAATATACATAAACAGTATTGGGATCTATTTTTAAGAATCAAACACTGACATTAAACACTTTCATCATTAAGATGCAGTCGTGTTACACTGAAATGCAGTCACTGTCCAATCACAGCGCTCAGCCATACTCAGGGGGCGGGGCTGGAACGGGAGGTGAGCATTTTACAGGAGATGATTCCCGTCCATATAAAGGAATGCTTTTTATTTGTTTAATTATTTATTTATTTTCTTGGTTTCACAAGTGTTCCAAAAAAACCCACTTTCTGCTATTCAGTTTTAATCTGCGTTGCATTTTATACGTACCAAATATAAAACATACACGTTATTGCACTACTACTAGTACTTTGTTTACTAAAAAAAAAAAAAAAAAGTGACGACCCATTGGACTGTACCAATAAATTATCAAACATTAGATTTAAACCAAACAAGGGATGATATCCTCCACTATAGAACTCCACAGAGTGCTGAGTGATCTTGGATCATGATGTTTTTTGGTAGAAACAGCCATTTAATCGCTGCGCTGCTTACGGTTTTCCTCCTTGGAAGACGTCGTGCTCCTGAACCACCTGTTGGGAGATTGTGAGTTTGAATCCAGATGATGCCTTGGCTATCCATGGCCTGGAGTCTGGGGAGCTCATGCTTTCTGTGTGGGAGGGGCAAACTGTGTCTCTCCTGTCAATCACTAGCCAATCGTGGGCATCTGTGAGTGTATGTATGTGGAAGAGGGCAGACAGCAGTTTCCTCTGCGGGTGTTACCCTGGCCAGTGATGCAGCAGTCCGAAAAGATGCAGGTGGTTGGAAGCTGTTGTATGATATGGTGAGCTCAGTGGTTAAGACTTTGGACTTCTCATCAGAAGGTTGTGAGTTCAAATCCCAGCACTGCCAAGCTGCCCCTGCTGGGTCCTTCAGCAAGGCCCTTAACCCTCAATTTCTCTGTTGTATAAATGTGATAAACGTAAGTCGTTCTGGATAAAAGTGTCTGCCAAATGCCATAAATGTTTAGAAAAAGGTCCTTGGCTTCTACCTCTCCATTGTTCAACCCACTGTTTCTCGCTTGTCTTCTTGTTTAGACAATAATATATAATATTAGGTGTTTGTATACGGAGAAAAAAAGACTAACATGAAAAGATATTTGTGGAAGAATATTAATTTTATTCTATTCAATGTTCTATTTCCATGTACAAAGATAACCATCATCCAAGATCCACATTCACTGTCAGTTCAAAGTGAAACAAAAAGACTCAAACACAACACAACACAACCACACAACCGGTTACACGTCCACGAGATTATTTCACTCACATTTTAGAGAAGCTAAAATTTTCCTGGTGGGAATGAATGGATGAGAATGCTACTGATGTCCCATTATGCATCCTGAATGTATTAATGTCTAGACTATGAGAAGGAAAGAGGGGAATGTCTCCAGTGGAGAAGATCACTGACTTGTTTGGTTGTTGTTGTTGTTTTTTTTTTTTCTAAATCGGAAGATTGCCAAACATCTGGTCGTCTGCTCTCTGGATGGAAATAGCATTTCCCTTTTTCTCACTCTCACCTACTGACTGCTACTAAAGTCACAAAATGAGACGTTCTCCTAGTGAAGATCCTCCGATTCAGACGTTATTTCAGATATCAGCAGTGCTTACGTTCTGGAGAGCGCGCGATCCGAGAGCGCCTTTTGGAATTCCGGCTAAATAACACTACAAGTTTTCCTTGTATTATCAGTTTTGACCTTTTATTATGGTTTTATAAGCATTCATTCCACATCACATCATCACCTGTTAAGGACCAATCCATGAACGATCATGCTGCGATGTAACGAGTTGGACAAGAACGCAGCTTTGCTCTTTAAAGCATTTGCCCCATATTAAAAATGCTAACAATAAATGGGGTTTCAGACAGAAATGTTAGCATTATTTAACGAATATAGCCCCAGTTTTACTCATACATTTTTATAATCTGGGCCTAAGTTCTATAAAGAATACCAACCTTTCCATTATTAATGCTACACAAATGCTAAAGATAATGCTAACTGTGCTACTTTCAGTTTTACACACGGTTTATACGCTTTCTCTCAGCTCTTGAATAGAAACAACAGAAACAGTTTTTCCCCCAAAATACTAGCTTTGCTAATAACCAGTGGAGTCTGAACTACATACCAGGTTAGCCTTATTCAAAACTGTGCTAAGCCCACTTTTTTATATATATATATATATATATATATATATATATATTTTTTTTTTTTTTTTATTATTATTTTTATTTTACAATTTAGCTATTTGTGTTTTGAGAGCTTTCTTCTGCTACGTGAATCGATAGGTCTTCAGGAAAAAATGCTAACACTGATAATAATGAGTGTAGTCTTTGGGGAAAGTAAAATTATTCCATTTTGACTGTGATAACAGTGTTAACTTCATCTTCTATTCATTATTAGCCGTGTTGGATTCGTTTTTCGCCCAGACGCTAACATTTTTAATAATAAATAGAGTCATACCTAGATAGGTCACCATTATTTAGTTGAAATTGTGCTAGCTATGCTTGGGTGTTCAGCTTTTTCGAAATGCTAACTTTACTAACAACGAATAAAGTCTCACCTGGATAAGTTAGCAAGTGTGCTAACGTCACATTTTATTCACGTTTAGCTATATTTTTCCATCTTGGGGCTTTCTTTTTTAGGTTTACGTCCTCAAAGATGCTAACACTGCTAATAAAGAATGGAATGGTCATGATGGATTTCGAGTCTTCTAGTTTTCTGGTAATAAACAGAGTCTCGTCGATTATTCTATTAGCCTATCTCTATTAGCCTTTTTTTGTGATTCTTTGCTAACAGTGGATATAGTTATTGAACTAGCAGTGCTAACGGCACATTTTTGGTGCAGTACGCCTTTAACAGAGCGGAGAACAGGACCATCTGCCTGTACTCTCGCTGTCCTCAAGCTGAGGGCAGGGAATCGCTGTTTTAACTTCCCGGCAGGATGCTGTGTGCGAGCGAAATAAACTCGGCGCTTGTTTATTTCTCTAAAGAGCCGTAATCAGCTCCACATGCCCGAGGCAGGGTCAGTGGGGACGTTCTGTCCGGGTCAGCGAAGGACAGAGTGCTTTCAGGTTATAAAACAATTCGATTCACGTCAACAACTGGCCAGTGGCTTTACTCAACCGCTCTCGCTCGTCATAAACGCGACTCCTGATCCCCGTCCCGCCACAAACTCCCACCTTAAATAAGATCCACTCCAATCCTGTTCTTACGGTTGTAATAACACTGGAATGACCACCTACTAAAGTTTTTTCATACGTATATAGTTGATATCTTCGTAAATGTTTAGGTGGTATTGTATAGATTGCTCAGATTTGTTTTAAATTACGTTTTTGTTTTAAAGACACAGCTCATTATTTCTATTCGCTTATAAACCATATGCTCTATACAACCCCCTAAAGTCATAAAATGCGTATAAAGCACATTAATATAGCAAACCTTGTTATTTTCTGTGCGTAGCGCATCTAAAACACTTGCTGGTGTTAAGTTTTTTTATCCTGTTAGTGTTGCTATAGTTTGTTTTTGGATGTTTTTTCTTGTCTCAGTGTCGCTGCTGTGATAATGTTATGTTGGCACCAAGCGGAAGTGTTAATGCTGCGATCAAATACTCGTAACTTTTATAATACTCAGAAATTTCCAACATCCCCCTCGACTCGGAATTCCTATTCAGAAAGTCGGGATAGTCCAAAATCTCTAAAACGGACGCTCCACATCAACGGATTTTAAAATTTTGTTGATATGGTGAATTTTTTTTTTTTTTTTTTAAGTAAAGAGACGTTTATTAACATTAACATTTACGGAAGGAGTCTCCAGTGTCAGCGCGGTGTAACAGTCAGAGATAAAGCCGTAACTGACATCTTCAGGACAGAGGAGTTTACGCTTCGTTGCGGTTTCTCTTTTTTTTTCTTATTAACTTCAAAAGAGAGAGAAAAGAGAGGCTGGTGAGGGAACGACTGTTTAAAGCGTAAGCAATATACGTAAGTGAGAACAGGAACTGACTTGTTTCGTGGATATTCCACGACCTTAAATGTTGCTATAAACGGATAAAAGTTAAATGTGTTGAGAAGCAGGTCAGTGATACTGTGACAGAGATGAAGCAGAATTCCTCTATGTTCCCAACGAAGCCATGCTTTCTATACAGAGCGTCGGCAGACAGACGGGAAACTGGAATCCCGGCACGGAGGCGAATCTCAGGAGCAGCCGCAGAGATCCACGACCATAGAAGGGATCTTCCCGTAGATGATCTGCTCTCGGTGGTTGAAGTAGAGCATGTTGATGGGGGACATTTTGGTGGGCGTGCAGCAGGGCCCGGCCGTACCGCGCGGATTCGCCTTGTTCACCAGGTGCGTGTGCGGGAACTTCTGCAGGTGTACCTGCTCACACTCGCCCGAGCAGTAGTTGGCCTTGTAGCGCTTGGGCGCAATGATCCAGTCCCAGCCGAAGTCCTCGAAGTCCACGGTGAGCGGGTAACGGCAGCAGCGGGATTCCGAAGAGCGCTCGTTGCAGTCGAGGCCGGATTCTCGTCTGGAACGCTTCGGCACCTCGGTGATTTTGACCTCTAGAAACGGTTGCTGCGAAAATAGATGCAGAAGGAGAAAAAGGGGTGACATGCGGTTAATAAAATTCTGTTATTCTTAAACAAATAGATGGATACTTTATTAATCCTATAAGTGGGATTTTTTTTTTGTTGCTTTATTTATCCCATAAAGCAAAGAAAGTGAGGATCTGATCAAGAATAACAAAATTAAAAATGTAAAGATCAATAGAGCGCTTCTGTAACAGGCTGCCACTAGGGCGGCGCCATCTCGCTATGATCGTCTCAGACGATTCCTCGGACCGAACCTATGCTGCGCGAGGTCCGACGTTTCTTCACTTCCCCGCTCACAACTTTAGCTCCTACCTGCAATTAGTTTCCGCTTACTGTGTGACACAAAAACGGAAATTTCATAAGCGTTGTTTCATCTTCTCCTGTCATATACGAGCTCTCAGTAAATGTGTTCGGAGACGTTAGGAGGAAAAATAAAACCTGGAAGGACGTAGCAGAGATCGTTGGTGTCCCTGGTGAGCGTACGTAGCTGGTGTAGTTAACTTGCTTTGCTAATCTAATCTGAGAACAAAGCTAATACGAAGCCGAGCACGTAACACGTAAATCTCACACACGTTTTTCACACTGATTAGTGTGCTATTTAATTTGTGTTTAACTAGTGAGTTAAATCCTATATAGCTACTACTGTTTCTCGGCAGACCTTAAAAAAAAAAACAGTGGACAGGCCACGCCCAGAAGGAACATCATCAGCGGTTATGATCCACGCCCACGAGAGACAAACTATGTGCAACACAAGAGACCTGTCGCTTGCTAGCCAGGATGTAGAGTAGCGCCACATTTACAATAGCAACTATTTCCTCTGGAAGTGTGTGATTCGGAGCTTTCCATTAGAAACAAGCTGATTTGCATAAAATTAAGCGATTTTCTTAATTTTTTGCAAATCAGTTATGATGAGGTGAAACAAGAAATCCAAATGATTGGACCGCAGAATCGATCGCATGCTAACAGTCGTCCGGTCTCGATACTCCTGATTTCGGCGTATGGTTCCTCTTTGCCTCACATTTGACAGAGCGGTGTACAGGAACCACCCCCTTCAGCGAGGCCCCGCCCCCCACACAGTACCCTGACCTAACGCAATTCTCCTAAGATTTGTACAGCGTATCTAAGTAGCTATTTGTAATCTAACCGTCAAATTTGTAGCGGTGTGGGGGTGGGGCTGTGAGAGTTAAGGCATCACAACGGACAGACGGCTAGCAAAATAAAGCAAGTTAACCTTACAGCTGAACATACAGCTAGCTAGCTAGTTTG